GTGCCGCCCGCCCCGCCGGCCCCTGGGAAATGTAGTCCGCGGCGGCCTCCCGGCGCCTCCCCGGGCTCTGTAACACAGTAGACACAGTTAGGAAAAAAAAAAAAGTCACACTTTTGACATAAAATTGACACAAAAGACCGCCTCTGGGCTCTGCAGCAGAAGTAGCAGGCCCTTGTGCCGTTAAGACTTGCATGCAGGAGGCAGAGGGCATGGGGTAACACTTGTGGGAAGCTGTAGTACGTAGTATCCATAAACTTAAGAAGCAAGGTTGGGCTTGTTTTCTTTATGTCAAATCTACCACTATGACATCACAGCTTTTGATGTCTTCCAGAAGTAGTTTATTTAATACAAGTGAATAGACAAGGATATTAATGAGGATCAGTAAGGAGCAGCCGATATGGCTAAGGATAAATTAGAGGCAATATTTTGCAATAGATCAGGCCGAAGAGAGACTCGTAAGGGGCAATGCTCCTGGGAGTGAATCCGTTTTTTGTTCTGGCGGGTGAGTTGCACACCTAGCCTTGAAACAAAGGGGTCTGGATGTCGGTGTCGTTGGTGTCAGCTGTGCATTTTCCACCAGATGGCAGAAACCTCCCTGATAAATTGCTGCAGCGGTCTCATGGCTTCCTTCTGCTCAACAGCACCGAGGTCTTCAGAGGTGTTAGGGATGGGATGGAATCAACCCAGTAGCAAAGGCATTCAAACACCCGTTGTGAAGGCCTATGGAATAGTCAATACAGACCCATTCTGACCTACAGGAACTGTAGTAAATACCTAGCATTCCTTGTTATGGGTAACCCATTTTTAGGAGCTTATCTTTGCTTATTGGAAGCCCTCTTTTTTAAAAAAATATCCTAGTCATTGAGAAAAATCATCCTCTTCACTGAGATTTAGCCAAGAGAAATTAAGTAGCAAAACTAAACACAGCGGAGTCAATACAGTTTTAATATTTAATGTTTTTATTCGTTTTTATATCATAATCTTTCCATTATAGCAAAAATACACTTCTGTGAGATATCTTTTGAAAGACTCCACTGTAAGCAGTAAATGGCTGATTTAAATAGGAATTTTTGCTATTTAATAGGATCAGATACAGGACCAGGTAGATAGCGTATTTTACATTTAGAAGGCAAAAGTAACTTACAAAATTTCGGCATCTCTTTCTTCATTATAACACAAAGACCTTGATGTATTCCATTTAAATCTGTAGCAAAATTTCCATTAGCTTCTATGGCAGCACTGAAGAAATAACATCAGCAAAGGACTGAGGAAGAAAGAATGATCACTGATTTCTCTAAGGGCTCCATTCTCTACACTGTTGGTACGATGGCACTTACTGACTTAAAAATATGCATGGCAAAAACAGCTTTATATTTGCTCTTATTGCATTTTGATAGTAACTTCATGAAGAATGTTTAGCTTACGTTGCACAAGTAAATGAAAAGAAAATTTTGTTTACTCCTTTCCGTGCTCAGATCGGTTAACTTTTTAACATTTATTGTCAGCAGTAAAAGTTGCATCTTTCTCCTTAAGTGATCTGTTTGGAATAATCAAAAACCATCTCTGCTTTTTCAAACAAGTTTTTAATTTTTTGAAGTCCAAGAGATTTGCAATAGCATGAAAGAACAGATACCTGGTAACTGAAAGGCTCTGTGTTCTTTTCCTCCCATCAAAAAATAGACTATATCTGTGAAATGAAACCAAGGGACCATGAGTAGGAATATCCCATCCTTGGATGCTACCCTACTTGTTGATGACCAAGTCTTTCTCAACACTTACTCTAGATGCAATAGTTTTTGCTCATGGTAATTCTGGTGAGAGTGCTAACTTTTACAGTTACTAAATTAGACAGATAAACAGCAAAGTGACACAGCTATTTAAAAAAACCCAAACATTTCTCCATCTGCCTTTAAACCCAGGTGGTGGTTAACCCGAGTATGTTGGACTACCCTCAATTTATACCAGAGTAACTCCAACTGACTTCTGAAGAACAATATTTAAATGCCACTTCAGGAAAGCTGACAATTTATCCATGAAAGACCTTGAGTCAGTCTCTCCAGCTCCAACAAGTAATCTGGGAACTCTCAAATGTCTGCATTTGAGACTGTTCTCTGGGGACGTCCTTAGGAAACTGAATGATTCATGGTTCTTATACCTAGTGATAATCATACACATTCCTAAAGCATAGTAACATGAAGAGGCATAGTAACATGAAGTTATGTTATTATAATAGAAACAATTTTAGTATTCCTTTCACCAAGCTGATCTTTTTTATTATAAATGCTGCCTCATCCCAAGTCTACAGATTTTCATGTCATTAGTTTCACTGAAGTGTAGTCACGAGCCCATAGATGATTTATACCTAAGCACCATACATGGCAGGAAAAAATGCAGCCATGTTTTACACTTTAATTATGAAGACAGGCAGAAAAAGACTATCATATTAATTATAGTAAGTCAGTGTTCCTCTTTTCTCATTGATCCTCCCAGCTCTCTTAGATCCAGGGAGGATTATTCTGCTTTTCCCCCTGTTTCTTACTTATCGCTTTCATTTTCTGTGATGTTTTCTGACTATAGAAAGGCCCACATTTCTGAGCTTTTGAAATCTAATTTCTCCATAGTTTGGGCATGTCTGGTTTTAGCACCTTGGCTCTGGCTTTTCATTGCTCTTTAGTTCATTTTTTCCCTTAAAATCTGGTGGTCTTTCAGATTCTTCTTCCGAAACACTGTATGAGAGAGGGGTCTCCATGCTGCATTTCAGGTACAATATGACACCCTCATGCACTTACTCGGTTCTGGAGTCTTGGATCATTATCTCTGCCTGTCCTCAGCTGATTCCTTCCTCTACATCTTTATCCTTTTTTCCTGGGTCTTTCTCTGAGTCTTGTCACGTACGTCAATATGCCCAGAATTTAGCAGTCAAAACGTCATGTCTGCACATCTAGTTATAATGCTGTTTAGTCCAGGAATAAAATGTAATGCTGCCTTCAGGGCAGTAGCCAGTACTGAGGGGAAGCAAGCCAACACAAATCCAGCAGCCTGCCTGTTTTGCACTGAGGTGATGCTTCCAGATGGCTACCCAGGAGAGGCTCTTTGAGAAAGACGGTGTGCTGGGACTGACAGGAGAAACAAATTATTTCTGGAAACAGAAAAACACTGACAAGTGCGGTATCATGGGGCATATCTTCATAAGAGCAATGGACAGAGACGGTCAAGATCACAAAGGACTTGTAGGAAGTCATTACAAAATACTAGTGCCACGTTGAAGGACATGTTGGGATGAATCCCCTACCATACTGGAGGAGCAATGCTTATTGCACTGAGTCAT